GATGAGGACAGTGTTGGTGAGGGAGGATGAAGGATGAGGACAGTGTTGGTGAGGGAGGATGAAGGATGAGGACAGTGTTGGTGAGGGAGGATGAAGGATGAGGACCGTGTTGGTGAGGGAGGATGAGGACAGTGTTGATGGGGAAGGATGAGGACAGTGTTGGTGAGGGAAAAGGATGAGGACAGTGTTGGTGAGGGTGAAAGATGAGGACAGTGTTGGTGAGGGTGAAGGATGAGGACAGTGTTGGTGAGGGTGAAGGATGAGGACAGTGTTGGTGAGGGTGAAGGATGAGGACAGTGTTGGTGAGGGTGAAGGATGAGGACAGTGTTGGTGAGGGTGAAGGATGAGGACAGTGTTGGTGAGGGTGAAGGATGAGGACAGTGTTGGTGAGGGTGAAGGATGAGGACAGTGTTGGTGAGGGTGAAGGATGAGGACAGTGTTGGTGAGGGTGAAGGATGAGGACAGTGTTGGTGAGGGTGAAGGATGAGGACAGTGTTGGTGAGGGTGAAGGATGAGGACAGTGTTGGTGAGGGTGAAGGATGAGGACAGTGTTGGTGAGGGTGAAGGATGAGGACAGTGTTGGTGAGGGTGAAGGATGAGGACAGTGTTGGTGAGGGTGAAGGATGAGGACAGTGTTGGTGAGGGTGAAGGATGAGGACAGTGTTGGTGAGGGTGAAGGATGAGGACAGTGTTGGTGAGGGTGAAGGATGAGGACAGTGTTGGTGAGGGTGAAGGATGAGGACAGTGTTGGTGAGGGTGAAGGATGAGGACAGTGTTGGTGAGGGTGAAGGATGAGGACAGTGTTGGTGAGGGTGAAGGATGAGGACAGTGTTGGTGAGGGTGAAGGATGAGGACAGTGTTGGTGAGGGTGAAGGATGAGGACAGTGTTGGTAAGGGTGAAGGATGAGGACAGTGTTGGTGAGGGTGAAGGATGAGGACAGTGTTAGTGAGAGAGAAGAATGAGGACAGTGTTAGTGAGAGAGAAGAATGAGGACAGTGTTGGTGAGGGAGAAGAATGAGGACAGTGTTGGTGAGGGAGAAGAATGAGGACAGTGTTGGTGAGGGTGAAGGATGAGGACAGTGTTGGTGAGGGAGAAGGATGAGGACAGTGTTGGTGAGGGAGAAGGATGAGGACAGTGTTGGTGAGGGAGAAGGATGAGGACAGTGTTGGTGAGGGTGAAGGATGACTACGTGTGTGAGTGGGCTGGGGTAAAATATGTGTGAGGGGTGTTGATTGGTGCCGGTGTGTTAGTGGGGTGGATACATGTGTGTGTGTGTGTGTGTGTGTGTGTGTGTGTGTGTGTGTGTGTGTGTGTGTGTGTGTGTGTGTGTGTGTGTGTGTGTGTGTGTGTGTGTGTGGTGCTACATAATGGGCGCCGATGACAGGTGGTGACATTTATTGTCACTCGGAGAATCGATAACTTATCCTGCTGTAACATGGTACAGATTTGTATACTGTTGTAACCAGGTCAAAAATGTATCCTTGTGTTAAAGGTTAAGTGTACAAGTTAGGCAACAGTGTAATGGGTACGGGAGAGCTTAACATGCTAGTTGCCTGGGAATGCTTAACGTGCTGGTTGCAAGATATATGAACCGCTAAATATTAATTCAATACGCAAGTTATAGAGTATACAGTAAACATATTTCGCGCCCCTTTAACAATCAAGAGATCACACAAAAGAAGGTCGCAAAGAAAACGATCGTTAACACTGAGACTAAAAACAACAGAAAAACGCTTAGCGAGAAACTTGCCAGAACTTTGAACAGAGCTTTGGAGAAGAAAAACGCAGCAAATGCTTAAAGTAACTTGAATAAACTTCGCCCAGCGTCTGACGACGGCAGAATTCGAGGCAAGTTGGAAACATGATTAATTACGTCTATGAACCTAAATAATGCCTTTTGTAGGGAGACGGGAAGCCTGTAGATATAGGCCACCCCTCCAACTACTGACCCTCCCCGGGATGCAACCCCACAACAGCTGTCCAACACCTGGGTACCTAATTACTGCTAGGTGAACAGACACATTAGACGAAAGGAAACGTGCCCAACCGTTTCTCTCCTGGCGGGGATTGAACCCAGGTCCCTCGACTGTGAGCCGAGGACGTAAACCACTATGCTACTGGATCCATAAATGATCTGCTTGATACCTGCTTGATGGGGTTCTGGGAGTTCTTCTACTCCCCAAGCCCGGCCCGAGGCCAGGCTCGACTTGTGAGAGTTTGGTCCACCAGGCTGTTGCTTGGAGCGGCCCGCAGGCCCACAAACCCACCACAGCCCGGCTGATCCGGAACTTCTCTTAGAAAACAGTCCAGTTTTCTCTTGAAGATGTCCACGGTTGTTCCGGCAATATTTCTTATAGTCGCTGGGAGGACGTTGAACAACCGCGGATTAACATTATAAGACTGACGTGCGGGCGAGTATTTACAGGATCAACTAATACAATAATTATAATGCTCGTGTCCCATTTCATGTGATCTCCATCTCATGTTGGCCTCCGAATGCATGATAGAGCCAAAGAATCTGCCTTTAAAGCTTTAGTATCGCTGGATTAGGGTTTAAAATAATTATTTTCAACACTGTGTGGCGCAGGTGGAGAAGGTAGAGGGAGGCGGCCTGAGCATCCAGGGGGTGGTCCTCGCCTCACACTGCCACGTCACCCTGTGTGTGTTCGGTGTGTTCTTCATGGTCGCCGGCGTCATCCTCTCCTACGTCAGCTACAGCGTCAATATGGAGGTACGTCACTCACACGTCAAGCAAATGCACGTAGGCTGTAGCTAGCGGTTGGAGAGGCCTCAAAGTAAACATGATCAGTTGTCAGGTAAACATGACCCGCTGTCAGGCTGCCAGGTAAACATGGTCAGCTGTCAGGCAGTCAGGTAAACATGATCAGCTGTCAGGCTGTCAGGTAAACATGATCAGCTGTCAGGCTGCCAGGTAAACATGACCAGCTGTCAGGCTGCCAGGTAAACATGACCAGCTGTCAGGCTGCCAGGTAAACATGGTCAGCTGTCAGGCTGTCAGGTAAACATGGTCAGCTGTCAGGCTGCCAGGTAAACATGATCAGCTGTCAGGCTGCCAGGTAAACATGATCAGCTGTCAGGCTGTCAGGTAAACATGACCAGCTGTCAGGCTGTCAGGTAAACATGACCAGCTGTCAGGTAAACATGACCAGCTGTCAGGTAAACATGGTCAGCTTGTCTTTCATAGTTGACTAAATTTCTAACGATAAAAACTGTACGATAAAGGCAGCGAAGCGACGTCTGGAGATCAAAATATCGAAAGGAAGAGACGTTTCTTGACAATAATGTCACTTTAACTATGACAATTTTTGTTTTATCACTCTCCATTGACGTGCTGGTACCTCTGTGAGTACCAGGATAGATCAACCTGTCCTCTTAAAAAGAACGTCACTTTTGGCCGTTTGCCCGTATGGCCGAATATGGACGTAATTTGAAAATGAAAAAATGAAAATAAATTTGGGATTTTTTTTTTCAACAACAGTAAGTTAAGGGTCCTCTGATAGGTTAGGTGGGCAGGAAATTCTCATAAAGTTTCAAAACGTTATGAAAAACGTTAATTTAAAGTGTCCTCTCCTAACTTCTCCGCGTACGCCGGACGACTCAAACAGAAAACGGAACAGTACGTCACTTTTGTGAGTCGATTTCATTTCAAATTACGTCCAAATTTGGCCATAGCGCGCATACGAGCGAAAAGTGACGTTATTTTTAAGAGGACGGGTTTCTCTGTGAGCCTCCTGGCTTAACAGGAGGCAGAAATCATCTACTCCTGTACCCATGTGTGTAAGAAATAAAGGTGGATAAATGTATGGATTTCTAATTGCACGCGCACCACGTTGCAGGCGGGAGACAAGGCAGGCGAGGACCAAGAGGAGAAGATGCAAGAAGACGAGGCCGGAGCGTCGCAGGAGGAGGCGCCAGGAGACCAGCAGGAAGGGGGGAAGACAGGAGAGACACACGAGGTGTCCAGGGTGGTTCAGATGCGCACCATCGGCCCGGTCTTTCTGGCTGTGGGCGTCCTCATGCTCTTTCTCGGCCTCATCCTCTTCGCGCTCGCAAGAAAGGTAATAACACACCAGTTATGTTAGGTAACAGCCTACCTAACCCAACCACTTGGGCTGGACGGTAGAGCGACGGTCTCGCTTCATGCAGGTCTGCGTTCAATCCCCGACCGTCTTCGTGGTTGGGCACCATTCCTACCCCCCCCCCCCCCCCCCCCGTTCAATCCCAATTCCTAATCCTGACCCGTCCCAAGTGTTATAGTCGTAATAGCTTGGCGATTTCTCCTGATAGTTCCCTTCCCCTTCAGTGTCTCATTTGGAATTAGTTTTTCTTCTCAGTTCACTATACGGCTCATCATATTCAAGCTTTCTAAATTGCTGTTTTCGATCTTCCTCAATTAAATCACGAAAACATTCTGCCTTTATATGTCTGTTGATAAAGCTCTTTCCCTAACAACGCTTTACATACTTCTTGAACAAATTGAAATTGAAATAAGTTTATTGAGGTAAAATACACACAAAGGGATGAGACAGCTCAAGCTATTCTCACCCCGTTCAGTACAACGTGTTAATACATACATAGACACACATCATAAACAATAAACATATTACCAAACATTCTGAGAGATAAATATATACATTCCTCCTTTATCTTGAACAAAAGTAAAATACAACTTGAGGCGTTATTACCCTTGGCTACAAACCACCACCACTGCTACCTCTTCCACCCTAACATTGTCGCTAAACCCGTGGTGAACGTGTCGTCAGATCGGGCACGACGAGAAGGCCAAGCAGCGAGCCCTGGCCGACCAGCAGCTGTGTCAGCTGGAGAACAGCTTCAGCTACGCCAACTCCTCCAGCTCCCCCCTGCACACTGCCGCCCCCGCCCCCCACCAGGTGAGTCTTCCATTACGTTTTACTGGCTTCTGCGGGCTCACCATAGCCCGTTCTGCTGGGAACTTTTGTTCCGAGTAGCTAAAACAACTAATTACTCGCTTACATAAATGTATGCAACCGGAAAACGAGCTCTTAACAACTGAAATTCGTCATATAATAATTCCTTTGAAGATATTATAATTGCAGACATCCTTTATTCTTGGTTACATAAATTCATAAGCTGAATACAATTTTATTCACTGCCACAACACCACTGTTTACAAATGGCGTCAGCAACAAAAGTCTTTGGCAGAGCACTTATAATTGTTGTTAGCAATTAGTAGCCTAAGGATTAACCATTAATGAGCTGGTTTCTGGAAACCTCTGGTTTCCAACTAAGAACCCAGGGTCGTAACATGTGACTACACTGGTCCCACGGCTTGTACCATACTCACGCCAGCGTCTGTATGGAGTGTATACAACATATGCTGTATACGCGAGCTCACTACTTTCATACAATACATTTGACTTGTACCTCTGACTCCGTAGTATATTCAGATACCGTGTGCTACTTCTCGTTCTCGTCCCAACTCTTGCACTGTATTGTGTCAGCCTTGTCAGTGCCTTAAGTTGCACCTATGTTGCCACTATGTAATTTTTTAAGTTTTATTTTAGCCTATCTTCAATTTAACGTCTAGATACCCCGGCCAAGCATGGTGACAAACCTGTATACTGTCAAAAGGCATTTTTGCATATTTAGCCCAAGATGTGGTCTCAGGGAAGTATATACTACACAATTGGTTTTACCTGTCTGTGGCGTCCTGTGATTCCTTGACATTTCTAAAAGTTGTTTTATGTGGGTTCTTCCCAGCAGCCACTTTGGCATGGAAGACGCTGTCAGAAGTGAGACCCTTGCTAGTAGAGCCTGCTGGGTGTGAACGAACCACTCGGCCGCCAACCACGTCCAGGTGGATGTCTCTAGGAAACGTGGCAGTCTAGAAATACACAGTCAGCCAACGTTCCCTATCCTTTCTAATCTCCATTAAAAGAATTATTTTAAGTTATCGAGCACGATTTCCACTCCCTTAATCGTGTGTCAACTTTCCACCATGAAGCCAAAACGTTCCAAGTGCTCTGGTAATTTTCATAATATCATTCTCCGCCCAACCGCCCGGTGTGTAGTTCAGAGCTGTTAGTTTATCTCCCCTTTGAATATCTCTATTACACTGGTGATTTTCGAACTGTCTCGTGTCTATTATGTTTCGTGCGATGTTCTGTAAAGCTTTTTTTAGTAGCTAATTTAACTTTTCGCCACATTAATTCAGCTTTCCAAGGCAAAATCTTGCTCAGTTCCACTGCCATGTGTAGCTAACCCGAGTGCCGTTCATCTCTTGTTCTGCAACTACAACGTGCTTAACTACATGTGCAGTGTTTCTGATTTCCTGTCAGCCACCAAAAGCAGGTTTTACAATCTTTTTCCATCTAGTTCACATCATCTCGAATATGTATTTCCCCCTTTCCCTCAGTAGCTGTTATTCTCTAACTTCAATTTTCGTTCTTTCTTGATTCTCGAATAGCTGTTCCTGGCTGTCTTGTTCAGACTATGCGTTTCGTTTGTTCATGTGTATGTACAAGAAACTGAGACCTACATCCATAAGGAATGTTGGCACGTTATGCTATGTGATGTGGCAATGCCCATACGACAGTCTGCCCATAAGGTCTACTCACTATCTGAGATACTATCCAAGTGAGACCGCTCTCGTTTGATATGTGGTAATGGTAATTTACGGCACCACAGCATATACACCCAAGATGCCACGCACTACACAATTTAATTTGCTGGAGATTTTAGCTTAACTACACTAAGGAAAAACGCAACTTTTACTTCTTCTAATCTTCTATTAATGAGAGGTTGAGCATCGTCGGTTCACTCCGTCTTTATTTTTATCAGTTCTTGTTCTGTTCTCACATTCTTACCACGTGTTATATACTCGTACTGGCTTATTAGCGCTTGATCCTGGTAATTACCCGACCTTGCCATTACAGCAATACCCGATCCTGTCTGTGCGACGGAACTCGTGGTGGGTGGACCCGGGCATGAAGAAGGCGGGCGGCGTGTTCTCCAACATCGGGACCCACAAGGACACCGTCCTCCATGGACCTTCGCCGCTCAGGTGTGTGTAATAACTCTCCGACGGCCTCAAGGCTCTCCTGGCATTACACATAACTAAAATATATATTACAATTATGCTAATGACTCCTGAGGTAGCATGACCAGTAAGATGGACGTAAAATGTAACGCCTATATATGAAACTAAAATTCAAATTTTAGTTTACCAGTGTTAGTAAACGCTGTTTACAGCGACTCTTGAAGGACTTGAGAATTAGTCTCATTATATTTCGGTTTTGGTAGTTTCCTGTGGCAGACGATTAGCCTAACTGATGCTTTAACTAATCACACTAATAAGTCCTTCTTTGTAGTATTCTTCTCAAATATAAGAAATTCCAACTCAACATTTTCATTAAACTTATCTAGCTCTCATTCACATTATATTATCCATATTGCAGCAAAATATATTACTAGTCACACTCAAATGCCGTCAGGTTACGACAACTATAGGCCTACATGCTTTCTGTAGCAGTAGTAATAGGCATCCATCAGTCTCAGACGTATACACTTTCTGTATATACTCGAAAATAGCCAAGGATCACTGGCGTATTTGCTCTTATATGCCTAGTGTCCCTAGAAAAAATACACAGCGAATGACAACTAACATAAATCATTTTGTCTTTCTTAACCTCGTCTGGCAGCCTCAATGGTCTATAGGAACTCTTAAGTCTGTGACATAAGTCAGTGCAATATAACCATTCTTGCTAAGCTCTTCCTTTTTATAATTACTTACTTGCCGTGCCTGGTCCAGGGAGAGCGAGTCGCCGCCACCTCTCATCATGACTCCCCTGCCCCTGGAACTGCTCCCAGACGCCTCAGACACATATAATTACAAGGACATCGCCTGCTTCCCTCGTCCCACCAATATGTGAGTACAGTTCAACACTGATACACGTTTGATGAAGCTGCATGTCAATGTAACTCTGATGTTTAACATTATTAGGCTCGCACGCTATTGTAAACTTGATGCTTCGTGTGTTGAACAAGAGTGATGTACTCTTGGAACCAATTTAGGTAGGATACGTCTGGCACGTTTATGAGGTTTTCTCTGATGAGTGCTCACTCATTATGAGCCTGCTGAAAGCAGCGGGAGCTGAATTGTTTAAATGGTATTCCGACATACTGTTACAGCTCATTTACACTAAAATCCTGCGAGTCCCTTCTAATGGTGTTCCAAGGAGATTTGATAATCCCGAAACTAATTTAAGGTGGACAAATATTTCGTTCATTGTAGACGGGAATGTTCCCCGAACATTAGGAGGATAAACCCCGTTCTTTGAAACTTTGTTGGGCATTTAACATTCGACTTTTAATTGGAGTTTATCAGTTTTCTTACACAAACTAAGGGAAAATACCAGGGTGAGGAACCTATTTTACGTTCGACGTTCTTAAGGTCTACCTTAGCGTCTGATTGTCGAGCAACAACATGCTGTACGCTCAAGACTGAACTACCATCGCCAACATTAATCCTTTGTCATGAAGCTGGTTGTTCGTTTCACAAATTCACTATTTCCCTGAGAACTCTATTGGCATCTTTATCCAACCTTACTGTATTGATATCATAAGTTTTGAAATGTGATCATCATAAATATTTACCGTTCCGTGTGAATGTCAGAATTTCTTGAATTGGTTAGGCCTAGTCAAAATAATTGTGGTAGGAGGACGTGACATTTAACACTTTCGCTGATGTAATAGGTTGCGGGCGACTCACGAAAAATTTGAGCTCCTGCTATGAACTTCATTCCAGGTCACAGACCTGGAATGAAGTTCATTCCAGAAAATGTCTAGAAAAAGTTCCAAATCATGGAATATTCAACAAGTCTTCTGATCTTCAAAGCTGGCGTCGGACCTTGTAAATGTCGCTGTCAACTGGCAACAAAATCAAATATCAAACACGAGACGGAAGTATTCAAAATGTTATCAACGCTGATTCAACTCTTGGACATTGCACTCACTGGGAAAATGACCATCTCCGTCAATAGACACCTCATAATCTATTTCAACGATTTTTGGGACATTAATATTTCGTATATTTTAATAGGTTGTGTACAGAAAATACATAGAACTTAAGCATATTTGAGTCGACTTACAAGCAGTTATGTCAATGTTTTCGTCTGCTTTTTCAAACCTCGTTTATCATTATGGATTCTATCTGATTACTATAAATTTTAAAAGATCGTTCTTATTTATTTGAAATGTAAAAAACAAAAGAAAATAAATGCTATTGGAAAAAAGGAGCAGAATTTATTTGTTAATGTATCTGGCGACAATTGCGGACATTTTTCTTACTAGAAAGATGATAAAAAACAGAAAAATTGCATTTGAACAACAGTTTTTGAGAACAGGTTGAACTGTGTTCGTAATCCCCCTTTAATAAGCCCCTCAATAATATTAATAAGCAGGCTAAATTATACGTAAAGAGAATTATTTATCCAGAGTTAATCATGATAACTATGTATCCCCCACACAGCCCGTCCTCCTAAGGTTTCCCAACGACAATAAAACGGTTAAATTTAAGTGTCCTCTCCTAACCTACCAGAGGACCCAAAACAGAAAACGGAACAGTATGTCAATTTCGCGAGCCGCTCCCATATTCTAGTACGACTATTTGTGGCCTTATGTAACGCATACGAGCGAAATGCAACGTTCTTTGTATGAGGACAAGTTGTTATCCCCAGCAACAGGCACAAGCAGAGTGAAGGTGAGGGCCGATGGCAGCTTTCAGCATTGCAACAGCCAAGTGTACAAGCCCATATTTTAACTGTTCAATTAATATCAACCGTAAATATGAATGACTCTGACATAACATTAGTTTGGATGGATAGGAGCTGCCTCGTATAGACAAACAGGCCTTCTGCAGTTTCCTTTATCCATATATTTTTATATCAATGATTTGTACACAACGCATGTAAAAAGAGTTCAAATACACAATAAGTTGTATTTCATTCACCTGGGCTCTAGGAGACTCGAACCACGTACCCCACGCGTGTGAGGCATTCAGCCCGTCCTCCAAACAAAGATCCAAAAGTGATTCCATGCACCCGCCAAACCCCCTGTTTATGAATGAAAAGCGGTTTACACACGACTCAACTGCTGACGTTCGAACATATCCGGAACAAGTGCTTCACTGACGAATTTTATTCGAATCACAACGCTATAAATGCTTCACCCACGTACTACAAATACAAATAATCGCCAACAGAACCTAAACACGTGTCCTAACCTATCCTATGCCTATATATACACAATATGCCAATATATTATAATATTAATTTATACTTGAGAAAATTCCCGTTTTGAATGAACAGCATGTTAAAATTTATGAATGCGTATGTGGGGTCGACCGCTGAATGTAATGGACTTGAGTCGAGGACGGGTTGGACTGGGCTATGAGTAGTCTTAAAATGGAAAGGCTTTCCTTATAAAGACTACTAATAGCCCAGTCCATAGAGCTTCTGCCTCACTCGCGTGGGGTACGTGGTTCGAGTCTCCCAGAGCCGAGGAGAATGAAATGTTTATTTCCACGAAAGTTTAATATTAAGCATACAATGGTGGTTGTCGTCCTTCCACATTTAAGAGATGGCAATAAATAACATTATAAACGTAAGACTTAACAAAATAATAATTTAACCACAGTTAAAACATTTAGTAAATAACGTAGGAAAAATAACAGTTGTACAGAAGTGAGATAAATGTGACACACGAGTCATAATAACGGCCCTGCGGTAGTTCGTGAGGCCACTAATACATTAATTAATAGTCCCCAATAATAAGCCACATTTGACAATTGACCTTAAGTAGTAATTATCTTAAGGTCAATTGATAGTAATTATCAATTGACTTTTAGTAATTATCTCCAGTATCGCAAATAATATACAAATCGACACCAAACTATGGGTGTCTATGCTGATGCTGAAAATAGTACATATTTCGCATTTTCTTCGTATAGCACAAGCTATTGTATAGTCCTTGAGCAAAATTTAAACTATTAAAAATAAACTGGCTAACTAATAAATATTTTGTTTTCCGAGCTGGTAACGCTCAAAATATTGGCAATAAACACAGTTACCAACTTTTCTTTATTGTTGCTGTGAAAACTTATTTCCCTTCTGTTACTACTTACTTTGTCATGTATCATTTTATACACTAGCAACGGCTTACCTAAATGAACGGTTTAAGACAAGTATTTTCATGATCATCCATAGGTGCGTTCACTGTCTATTATTGATAGTAAATAATTACCTCAAAACAGGGCCGGATCTGTTTTTCTGCCTTTAGGACAAAACAGCTAAATAGGCCCCGCCCTCTGGTCAGTGTGGTTATTCAAGGGCTAAAACACACATGTAAACTGGTGGGCCCCCGCCCCCCACTCCCCTAGTGCTGATGGCCCCCAACCACAGGTGCTGATGGCCCCCAACCCCAGGTGCTGATGGGCCCCTAGGCTATAGCTTACTTGGCCTATCGGGTAATCCGGCCCTGCATCAAAATATGCAAGTTTAAATGTACCGTGATGTACCAGCCATACTGAGAAGCTGTACAAAGTTCAATTTTATTTGCGTTTTAACGTTTTGGTTCTCAAAGACAGAACCCTGGATTCGGTTAAATACGGAAGCTACGTTACCCGTCTTTCCACCCACATGTATGCAGCATGATATCATTGATATGGCAGACCCACATGCAAACAGCATGATACGGCAGACCCAAATGTAAACAACGTTTCGCGGGTGCATTAGGCTACGTCAGTGCAAGGACTGAATACAGGATTGTATTTCCAAACACCGAACGCACACTGTTTAGAATAATGCATAAGCTCTACCACACAGTCCTGAACTCCCCACTGCTGGACACTTCTTAACACCTCTCAGCACACAACACAAAAGTTGTTTAAACTGTATTTAGACGTGAAGACAATGACACACTTGATAGTGGCCCAGGGCGGATCGAAACGTCTCCGTTTCTTCATTTTGTGATGTGTGGTTTGGACATCATATATAGGGGTACCACCTCTGGTGCAAGTGTAGGGACCCATAGCCTCGGAGAAGAAAATAAAGAGTACCCAGAGAAGACCTTGTGGATCCTCACTGCAAGCATTTGAACATGCAGGTTTAAAGGATTGTCTAGTATGAATTTTATACCGGAATGCAATTTTGTTAATTCCTATAAAATACAAATAGAATTCCCATGGAGTCCTTGGGGTCTACGGACGCCCAGTTGGGGCCTACTACGACTACGTTACACAATTCAAATTTGTACTTACAGTAGACTGCGTTGAACTGCCACCCTGGCGAGTGACCACTTGCAAACTCAACACGAACTTCACAAACTCAACACATCACTATATATAGGTACATTAATAATTTGAAGGTCATTTTCTACCGCTCATTCAAGATGTTAATCACTACTACTGTTTACTTGGTTTTCTTAAAAAAATATTGGCTCTCTAAAGTGATTTATCAATTCGTTGCACTCAATTAAGAAACTTGTAGTTTAAATAAAGATATACAACCAGTGTTGTCGAAAACTTTCACTAAATATATCACAACCTACCAGTTCTTTCTCTTTACCACGACACCAAATATAGGCGTCTATGAACTTTTGTGTTACAAAACGGTCCGTCACTACAGGTTTACTCCGATTACGGCACGTAAAGTTCCATAGTGAGAACGTTAAAATTATTTCATATTTTACTGGTGGTGGTGGTGTTAGTTTAGGGGCAGCGACGCCAGAGGTGCCGTATGGTGAATACACACACTGATGAGCTAGGGAGCCCCAGGAGTCTCTCAGGGAGGCAAGCACCGCCACCACCCCACAGAGCACTGGGTGGTCAAGGCAAAAATACGGCCATTCATAAACTCGTACCAATACGGGCAAAAAAACAGTCTTCCAGTGCCCTCTGACAGCCGCCCACCGTCTGAAGGCACACCAAGATTCGCCAACTCCCGGCACCTCTTGGTCCAGTCAGCGCTGGAACCCGTCACCAAGCCAGAAAACGTTCAAAATGTATTCAAATTTCCTGTGACCCCAGACGATATGTGCACCGGGGGTCGTAACAATCCGGACCGTTTTGAATGCCAAAACCCTGTGGGTAAAACCTGTAGAACGGAACGTGACCCGGTGGCCCCCAGGCGGAACAGACGTCCGGTCGTCGTCAGGTTGAACCGGGAGTGAGGCGGTGGCGGTCAGGTCGTTTCGTCTTTGTTTACACTGCACTCACTACTGATTTAGATTTCGGGAAAGTTATTTTACATTGTGTGGAAGAATTTGTCGTTTCACGAAAGCCGCCGCCATGTCCAACCCTTCCTCAAAATACAAGGCAAATTATTTCCAATCAAGCACTTTAGTTACGTTCAAACCATTATTTAAGTGTTTCGTTCACTCCCCATGTTTGACGAGCGCCTCTCTAAATTATTCACTCACGTGCAATCAAAACAAATTATTGTCAACAAAACCATACCATGTGACCTAACCTTCTTTAGACATAAATATATAATAAAATACTGTTACATTTGAGAATATATTGTGTGATTATACACAATACCAACACCTTAAGAATGCGCGTTTGAGGACGAGGCTACTTAAACGATCATAGCCTGAGGATGGATTGCTCGTCCCAGCTGGAGCCTCTACCATAGATCCATTTGTCAATTTAACGTACTAGGTAACTAATAATGATATTTTCGCGATTTGAGTTTGATGTATATTAAAATTTTGCGCAACAGCGCATATATAAGTTGCTTAACCTAGAGACTGTTTTTGTGAGTGTCCTCGGACCCATTGTTCATGTAATAATTCATTAAATTGTGCAACTATAGCTTATCAATGCAACTTGCTTTGCTAAATGAATTTTGGGGTTCAGTTCCTTAGCCCATTATGTGCCTCTGTAACCTTTTCCACTACCGCCCACAGGATGGGTATGGGGTCCACTCCCACCCACAGGATGGGTATGGGATCCACTACCACCCACAGGATGGCTATGGGGTCCACTACCACCCACAGGATTGATTTGGGCTCCACTATCACCCACAGGATGGGTATGGGGTCCACTACTACCCAAAGGATGGGTATGAGGTCCACTACCACCCACAGGATCGGTATGGGGTCCACTCCCACCCACAGGATGGGTATGGGGTCCACTACCACCCACAGGATGGATATGGGGTCCACTCCCACCCACAGAGTCGGTATGAAGTCCACTCCCACCCACAGGGTCGGTATGGGGTCCACCCCACCCACAGGATGGGTATGGGGTCCACTACCACCCACAGGATGGGTAGGGTGTATAATAAAATGAACTTAACTAAACTATTAAGACAGAATAGGAAACTAAAACGACATTGATTTCAAGATTTTTTCACCTGCTTTGCGAATTAGTCATCTGTACATCCCTTGATATGAAAGCGTACTGCCATCAGAATCTCGATCTTCACGTTCGCGGTCCTTCAGTAACTTTAATCTACACCTCTTTTTTCAAAGTTAATTAGCATATAGCAATACAAATTTATCACTACATGAGGAACAGGATCAGCATACATGTGTTCAAGTCCGAGTGGGAAAACGTTTGGAAGTTGTGAGTCACGACTGTCCTGAGACCGCTCTCGTGTATCATATATAAAAAGCAATTATTGATGACTAAAATAGGACCGAAAATATATATTTAAACATGAACTCAAAATCACTGCAAGACGGCATAGAAATACTTACAAATGTATAAAAGATGGACATTTGCAGATTAATGTTGAAACACTTAAGGTTCTGAGTCTAGAAAATGAGAATCGAATTACCAGACATCAGTTGATATTGCCAAATCTGAATGGGAAATAAAAAAATGGGTTGCCATGATTTGGAGGAATCTTTAGTAACAACAATTAAAGTATAAACGTTCAAATTATGGCAAATAAAATACTGGAGTTCATACCATGAAACGTTAGTAAAGAGATATCTGATGTTTTTCTTCAGCTTTATGATGTTCTTGTTAGGCTCCATCTAGATTAAGTGGTTCAGTTTTAAGCACTATGCTATACAATTGACAAATTCTTTTCGTCGTGTCCAGGGCAGAATGCCAAAGTTAACGACAGGAACTGGGTGCACTAATGAAGAGGGTAGGGAAGTTTTATGTAGTTCTTTAGAAAGGCGAAAAGGGAAAAGGGGGGATGGGGCGTCATGACTAAAATATTAAAATGGATGAAAAAATATAACAAGGTGGATATTAATGATGCGTTAAATATACAAATATAATACTACACAATATATACAAACTGGGTAAACACTGGTTTGGAAACATTTGAAATAGGATTGTAGCTAAATGAAGTAAGTTAATTCACAGGGAAACGCATTAGAGGTCGGGTAGCTGGAATGTTTCAAGCTAAGGTCAAACATATGTATGAAGGGTTAAATATTCCTTTTGCAGTTTCCTTCATTTTTATGATCCCATCAGATGATAATGCATACTTGCTTTTATGTATACTATACTATAAGCCATAAGGTAAGAACATTTTTTAGCTGAGCGGAATATGAGATCGCTCTCAAAAATGTTTCAAATTTAATAATTTAAAAAATTATAGCTAAAAATTTGTCAGTCAACTGTTGAAGGTGATTCGGAATTTTACACGCAATCTACTTGAAAGGTCCAGGGGCCAACAGGACGGACCGAAACGTCGTTACTTCCTATATTTTTAAAGTTGTGGGTTGAGTGTATAATTATCAGCCTCGTTATTATGACTTACCGTCTGCATGATTATGAATTCCATTTATTTTCAGGGGTCCGTTGCCTGTAACCGAACAACAAGTACTTCCGTTGGAAGAAGGTGGTGCCGACCTTACTACTACAGTGGCTTCTCAACCAGAAGGTGGTGACGACCTCACTACCGCCACCGACCATCCCTCGCTCAGCAGCATCCCGGCCGCCTCCTGCACAGATTGGCGCAGTACCACCCCTCTGCTCTCCTGTGCGGAACAGGAGCTGCGTACCGCTGTTCTGGTGCCATCCAGCGCCACCTTACCTCGCACACACGGCACCTCGACAATGCACACATCTTCTAAGCTGCCAGTCATACAAGTAAATGGATTTTGCACTTTGAGAGGCTGATGGAAGAGTATCGTAATGGTTTTACAGGGTAGTGAGAGACGCGGTGATAGTTGAATTGTATGTATGGTGGGTAGTGACAGCATGTAGCGATGGCTCCATGATGTTGCTAGTATGTAGAAAGCGAAATAGATTGTAGATACGAGGAAACTCATGAGAACTTGGAATGATTGGAAACAAATGGGTCCAACCACTTGGAATAGACAGTAGAAAGACGGTCTCTCTTCTTGCAGACCCGCGTTCAGTCCCCAACCATCCAAGTAATTGGGCACCATTCTTTTCCTCCATCCTATCCCATATCATTATCCTCATATCCCTCGCAAGTGATAATATAGTCATAATGGTTTTAGAACTTTCTTCCGATAGTTAACTTTATCTTGAAAACAAATGGATGTGGTGACTAAGCAGTTCAACTGGCGGTCTTGCTTATACATAAAAAAGAAGAATACCCATTTAACGAGGGAAAAAGAATAGGGTATAGAGATGCGTTTCAGAAGGCCTGTGAGAGCTAATGACAGGGCTTAACCCAGCTCCCTTGATGCTAGGAGGCGCGGGGTGGTGGTTCAGGGCAGTTCTCAGTGCACGGAACACCACCAGCGGCACGTCCAGCACGGGAATACAGCTGTCCGTACACGGAGGGAAGTGAATTATCTGAAATTGATCACAAAAAGATATGACCTTAGGTACACAGGCCCAGAGAGACGCAGGGTACTCTGCTCTCCGCTGAACGTGCTTACAAAGCAGTGTACCTGTACATGTACATGTATATAAAGCTGTGTATCTGTAGATGTACATAAAGTCGTGTATCTGTGCATGTACATAAAGCCCGTATGTATACATGTATACATAAAACCGTGTATCTGTACATGTACAGATACAGGTGTCTTAACCTTCTGGTCGTTGACACATGTACTAACAATTATCTTATCGTTGACACAGGTAACGGAGCCGCAGCCTCAGACGCCACCAGTGCCGGTTGTCCTTCCCAGACTCTCCCGGCATTGCTCCACCCGACCTGACAGCCGACCAACCACAGCCGATTTCCCCTCGAGATCAGAGTCTAGATGAAGATAAGCCTCATCTTATCTCCCAACGAGAAAGGATTCCAAACGGCGCTAAGACTCGCCTTTCCTTCCCTCGAGAAAGGATTCCAGACGGCGCTTAAGTCTTTCCCAGTCTTTCTTTCACTCTGAGAAGACCTCCAACAGCCATGTGGCTATGTGGAAAGACATTCCACATAAATATAATTCACTACTTCGCTACAAGAAGAACCTAAAATAAATCTAAACAGTTTTTTCCTTCAAGAAACGATTTCAAATGAAACCAAGATTTCTTTCTCTGCGAAAAACCTTAAAGGAAACTAAACTTTATCTCGCCCTCGAGAAAGAACCTCAAATGAAGTCAACAAATGTCTGCCTTCGAGAAAGGACCTGAGATGAAGTCAAACCTGTTTTACCTCGAGAAACAACCTTAGAAGCAGCTAAGCTTGGCCTTTCTTTCACTTCAAGTTTACCTTCAGAATATTTGACCGCGACCCAGGAAGTTCCAAGCCTTGTGGTAACTACACATACATTCACATATATATATATATATGTAAACACATATATTTATATACGAGTATTCATATTATTTAGGATTTCAAAAATGATTATTTAAAAAAAATGGCAAGATTAAAGGATATTTTGTAATGTAAGAGCTGTGTGTATTATATGCAAACAAACAAACAAACAAAATGTTGTCGTTGGTGGACCACTGGAAAATTCACCATATTTTATCGTACGGTTTTGATATATATATATATATCCTGATCTTGATTTGTTATTATTTTACCACAAAGAATATTCGTTAAATCATGCATGTAAATATGAACTAAATATTATATATATATATATATATATATATATATATATATATATATATATATATATATATATATATATATATATATATATATATATATATATATATATATATATATATATATATATACTGTAAACTCATACACATACGCAGTACAGCAACATACGTGACATGCACAATCGTGAACCAACATACACGTACGCGATACAAACATTCGTACATCATCATCATACACAGTATATCGCACATATATATGTATATATAATAATGAGGTTATCCCCCATTGCCATAACCATTGCTCATTATAGGTGAAGCATCGCACCTCATGCATCACACACCCCTCGCGTCAAGCTCTCATCTACATATAAATGTTCATCTACATTATTTTGGAAATATACTCAAATTATAAGAGCTGCCTTGTTTTAATCCTCCGTTTTCTTGTTTACGTCATCACCTTATTTTACCGAGAGAATAAGACATGTCGAGGTCTGTATGAGAGAGAGAGAGAGAGAGAGAGAGAGAGAGAGAGAGAGAGAGAGAGAGAGAGAGAGAGAGAGAGAGAGAGAGAGAGAGAGAGAGAGAGAGAGAGAGAGAGAGAGAGAGAGAGAGAGAGAGAGAGAGAGAGAGAGAGAGAGAGAGAGAGAGAGAGAGAGAGAGAGAGAGAGAGAGAGAGAGAGAGAGAGAGAGAGAGAGAGAGAGAGAGAGAGAGAGAGAGAGAGAGAGAGAGAGAGAGAGAGAGAGAGAGAGAGAGAGAGAGAGAGAGAGAGAGAGACAGAGACAGAGACAGAGACAGAGACAGAGACAGAGAGAGAGAGAGAGAGAGAGAGAGAGAGAGAGAGAGAGAGAGAGAGAGAGACAGAGAGACAGAGACAGAGACAGAGACAGAGACAGAGACAGACAGACAGACAGATACAGTCAGTCAGTTTTAGTTAAATTTAATTCTAGTGCACCCCATATCCATCCGGTGAGTGATAATGTACCCCATATGTATCCTGTGAGTGCAGGATTTAGAATACATAAGGATACATTCAAACGAACGAAGTTAAGTGCTAAAGTTCACTGACGAGATTGAGAGTGGAGGCAGACTACCTTTCCTAGATGTAATAGTCTCGGAATGGAATGGAGGCTTTAACACTGCAATCTATACTAAGGAATCTAAAATGGAAATTTGCCTTAATGCTAAAAGTGTATGCCATGATAGATACAAGCGGAGTGTTGGCAATGCCTCTCAACCGCGCCCTCACACAGCTCCACCTGGAAGCAGGTTGATGAGGAACTTGGTAGGGTAAGGCATGTCATGATCAATAATGGATACTCTAATGGATATGTCGAGGAAATCATCAAAAGGTAGGTGAGCCGCCATGCGACTTCAGATATAACAGACAACAGTACATCATCGGTCCCTTAAATATACCGGAGAAGAGACTAAAGAGTATTCAGAGAACAACGCGCCGTTTGACTCCAAATATATATAAGTATTCACTTCCACCACTCCTTTTTTATTATTTATGTTGTAAACTTTATTATACAAGGATACAGTTACATAGCTGATTAGTTACAAAATGTGGACAATAACAGGAAATAAAGGGAAGTATATTCCTAGAGGCTGTAAATTTCTTTAAACTCCGACGCCAGGCAGCAACCGAGGATGCAGCGGGCATTACCCCCTCTGGATCGCCACACTCAGGCGCTGGAAGAGAAAACTCGCCACTCTAGGGTCTCATGTTGTTTCGATAAGCTTGGAAGCAAGATCCTTGAGAAACCTCCTTGCTCTCTCTCCCCATGGGCCAAGGGTATCGTATCCGATTGGAACGAAGTTGTACCGGAAATCTATCTTCCTGTACTTGGTTGATATGTCTCTTTCTGTGTGAGTGGCCGCGGCTCCTGCTTGGCCGACAGAGAGGTTGATGTAATGTTGCTGCCAGGGTGGATACGTAAGTATAGTCCCACACTATTTGTCTGCCATTTTTCCCATGGGCGCAGTGTGATTCCATCCACGGTTCACTAGATTGGAAGGTAAATGGTCTGTTGGACGCTTGACCGAACCAAGACGCCTCTTAATGATGTCGTTGACTTCGTCGTGTCGTGAGTGCCAACCGCCTGATTTTCCACAGTGCAGGCCATGCAATTCATATTCGTCTGAATCAGCAAGTGCAAATGTGCGTTCTACATTTGCACTTGCGAATATGGATTACATTTGCAAGTGGAATATGAATGCCCACTTAATTGCGTTCTGGTGAATTCCAGACTCCTGCCCTGACTCGATCCCGATGGTACAAAGGCCGACCAACCCGGCATTAGTTTCATTGTGCTGGCGTAAAGATTACCTTCATGGTGCTGATGTAAAGATTACCTTCATGGTGTTAGTGTAAAGATTACCTTCATGGTGCTGGTGTAAAGATTACCTTCATGTAAAGATTACCTTCATGTTGGTGTAAAGATTACCTTCATGGTGATTACCTTCATGGTGGTGTAAAGATTACCTTCATGGTGCTGATGTAAAGATTACCTTCATGGTGTTGGTGTAAAGATTACCTTCATGGTGTTGGTGTAAAGATTACCTTCATGGTGCTGGTGTAAAGATTACCTTCATGGTGCTGGTGTAAAGATTACCTTCATGGTGCTGGTGTAAAGATTACCTTCATGGTGCTGGTGTAAAGATTACCTTCATGGTGCTGGTGTAAAGATTACCTTCATGGTGCTGGTGTAAAGATTACCTTCATGGTGCTGGTGTAAAGATTACCTTCATGGTGCTTGATAGTAGTTACAAATGTATATTCTCTCCAAATCCGCAGGAAATAACTACAGAACAACACGACACTGGCCTTGAATATTATTTATAAATTAAAGACTATCAATAAATCGATTTTCTGGATTCTGGAGCAAACAGTCTTTCACTCCCATGTAATAAATGTAATAATTAATCAATACTAAAAGAAACAATACTTACCAGTTCTTTAATCACTTACTTAACCGGTTAATTATGAACTCAACAAATCTTATCAGGAATTAATAATGAAAACTATTAGAGTCAAAGACAAAGCATTAGTTTTTACTTCTTAAAAAAAATAAACAAACGTCAGTCTCTGAATTCTATAAATATTTTTGGACAGCACAAGTAAAATATCCCCCTTGTATTTGAGTAACCTTTGGGGGCTAAAAGAAGACTTCCCAGCTACCGCCGGAGCTCTTGTCTCATCGAGGACATCTTTTTACAACTGCAGGTGCCATGGTAGCTTCGATGCCATCGTCTAAAAGGCGCCACACACCTCCCTGCCAGGAGTCTCCGCGACGCCTCCATAGCCCTTCCGTGGGGTTTTGCGCCAACTTATGACGTCACCACCAAAGTCTTCTGTACATTTTGAAGTGAGGGAGGCGACAACGTTGGCGGCTCTGTTGGATGTTGGGTCCTTGATAGACTGCGCTGATAGCTGGAAGAGGGTGAACCAGCCCTCCAAGCCTTCCCCCCTGTCCATGCCCCCAGTTATTGCCGTCTTCTGGTGCTGACCGGATACAGCCACCCCTCCTCCTGGGACCACCAGCCCCACGCTCTGGGTGGAGAAAACACTGTTAACGGCGTTCTTATGGACAAAGTTTTATGACAATCACATTTATGATTCAGATGTAAGATATAATTTTTGTAAACAAAAAAAAATCAGCACAGTATTCGGCATTGGTCTCACCTTGGGATCAAAGCCATGAGAGAGGAGCTTGCCGTCCATGAAAACACTCCACTGGCCGGTGGCGGAGTCCCAGGAGTGCAGCATGTGGTGCCACTCCCCCACCCCGACGAACTTGGACGGAACTTTGCTCACCAATTGGTCGTTGATCTGCAGCGTCCAGAACTGCTGGCCTTCCTTTACCAGCTGAACCGTCAGGTTGTTGTTGGTGCTCAGTTCATTCACTAGAACACAGGAAGCCAGACGTAAACACTCTGGTAATGTGGTTTACGAATATTGCATAACCATACCTCCCTCCTCCGGTCCCTTTGACAAGAATCTAACGCGTCGACAGGTGCCATAATCCCTTGAGGAGATCACATCTTCCATTTCAGGTGAGGTATCAGAATTAGAAAAAAATTAACAATAAGCGCTAACATGGAATTTATAATCTGTACACTAAGATAACAACCTAATGGAGTGAAAAATGATGTAGGTAATTAGGCCTCAGACCAAATCTATTACTATGACAAACGACGCCCCACTTTCAAACCATGCGTATAGATATCTAAAAAAAAATTATGGTCTGAATGCATATTACGGTTCCAGTATTAGTCTACTTATAAACTGGCAAATGAACCTTTGTCCTAAACAGAAATTGTTCTCAAGTTACAACTTTAATGTATTATAAATTGTTGGTTTAAAATATAAAAAGTATGCTTGAAAACGTTTTATTTGAAGAATTTGGTTTTCCTGTAAACGGAATTCCTGGGTACACTTATATAGTTTTCAAATTCCATATTTCACATTGTCAATAATACACCATATTAACGTAACCAAGCACAATGAAACCTAGCCTAATATTACAACTCTGGGTTCTTAATTGGCTCTGCCAGGAAACTAGGGTTAGATAGAGTTCTTTTAGATTCATGCAGGGATCAGTTATTTAAGTATTTTGGTAGTGATAGGCACTGACTGTTAGGGATTATGGGTGGGTAATTAATTAAGTAAATATTAGAACATTAATTGATAGGTTGGGTTATGTAAGAGGGATATTTAATTAACAGTATAACTTATATTAAAGGGAAACTAGAACTTTCTTGGTTGATGGTTCCACTTCTCTGCTAGACGTAAGATTAACCTTGTTGCTCACAGAGCTGGTATACTCTGTGTTAATTGATTATTAGTATATGTAAAACTAGATGTTAGCTATTCTTAGAACTGTTAAAGTATCAAGCAAAAGAGTTGTCTTGGAAGACTTGTGATGATTGTTACTGTACGATCAGTTTAGTATACTTCAGGCAGGGGCCACATGGAGGAGAGAGTAGCTTGCTCCTTCATCTCTGCTGGGTTATTTTGCGCTCTGGTCATGTGACCGTGTGAGCTGTTTATTTACATCTTCCTCCTCCTCCACCTCTCTTCTCTCTTCTTATTCTGTGACTAAGTTATGTACCATACTGTAGATTACTGTGCCACTGTAGTAATCGTTCGTGTCCTCTAACCCAGTGTTTTGGAGCTCCAAGTGTTATCTCTGGAGGTGACTAGAGTGACCACGTGTTGTTGTTTTCCAGTGAGTGTTCTATTCCTTAAGGATACTTGAGGGGGGGGGTATTAGGGGTTAATAAATAATAACTAAGGTTTTGTAATCGGAGTATCCTTTTACCCTTGTTGTAGTGAGGTGGGTAATCTCTAGATTTCAGACCGTTTAGGTTAAATATTATTTGCAGGGAATTGTCTTCCCTGGGGGCCGGGCCTAACCTAACTCCACTGTTTTAGGAACTCCTTGACCTTAGCTGCTGGCCTCTCACAGAACAAACACGAGTCCATTCTTAACACCAAACCTAACCTTACCAAACCTTAACCTAAAGTAACCTAACCTAACTACGGATAGAATAACACTAATTATGTGGTCATTGCCAATCCATTTCTTCGAGAGGATCTCCTCCCTGAAGACGGGTTAGCATTCAATTCCAGACCGTCGGAGTGGTTGGGCGCCATTCTATCCTCCGTCCCATCCCAAATCCTTATCTTGATTCTTTACAAGTAGTGCTAAGTAGTCGTAATGAATTAGCACTTTCTCATGATAGTTCCATCCCTTCCCTCCCAGTAAATAAAAGAAATATTGCTATAACAAAATAAATATTTATAAATAAATTCACCATGTTTATCAAGGCTTGTTAGACCTGCTAGGTTGTGGTAGTTATGTGAGCTTGCAGGCCACAAACAGCAATTGCCTGGCTGATCATTTCTAGAGAAACTTTGCTTCATGGTCGGGCAATAAGAAACCTGGGCACCTTTAAGTTTCCGGGCACCTGGAAACCAAATGTACCCAAGTCGATCGAAGGAGGTATACTTACATCCATAATTGAAGGAGGTTGAGGTGCGGTTGGTGCTGATGAGGTTGAACCAGTAGTGCATAGTAAAGGCGGTGAGGCGCGGGAACTGGGTGAAGTAGTGGACGTACTGCACGTAGCCCGTCTGATTCAGCATCAGCTGCGACCAAGTCCCGTTATTCTCTATTACTCTCTACATTCTCAATGACTTCCTATAAGCCTATAATATATATATATATATACACACACACACATACATACAGGCTACTTGCCCCTGACAAAAATTAATGAATACTGCATTTCTAATGAACTATGAAGATATAAACGAAGCCTAATACACTATATCTCGAATTTAAAAAAAACTCTATTTGAATGCACAACACTGTTTCATATAATTAATAAAATATTCGCTAAGCAAACTTGATATGAGGAAGTGCAGGAACGGTAGGTACCTTTTGCAGGCTGTTTTCCTGACACAGGCTGGAGGTCTTGCTGGGAAAGTGTGCGGCTTGAGAGGTGTGGAGCACCGCCGCCACCACCACCACCACACTCCACCACACTGCCATCCTCTCCTCACACCTTCACACACTATATACAACACTTAATTAAATTATTGCAAGACAATACTGTATAAAAGTAATAATTAAAATAAGCCTTGGCGCTTTCCATTGATAATAATTTGTTAACAGAATTTTAAATATTTTTTGACACCGAATTCATATAATTTATCTTTATTTCCCTCCTGTATTTAGCGGTAATGTCCTGTATGTAGGCGACGTTGAGGAGTTGCTCTCGGTTGTTAATTCTGTGACTTGAGAACACCAGGTTAGAATAATGAGCCTTTATACTACATCTGTGAGATCAGGCTTGGGGGAAAACAGGGAACAACAAAAGTTAAATAGCGAGGGTGTTGAAGTATACAACTATTTTTCCTTTCAATTTAAAGCAATGGGTTCTAAAAGTAGTCCTAATATCTATACCATAAGAGAGAATGTCTATGGGGTATGGGACGGATATGCGGGATAGGCTCTTAAATTGCTTAAGAAATATAGCTTGTAACCCAACACCCCTAAGCAATTTTAATTAATTCGGAAACGAAATCGGGGATGTACTGTCCGCAGATTATTGAAGTTACTCACGATGTACCTGCTAATTTCCGTGATTTTTTTTGCTTTATATATGCATGAAAATGTCAACCTGCTCGACGTCGGAGGGGAAGAGGGGAGAGGGTAGGGAGATAGGGATGAATGGAGAAAATGTGGAGAGATATGATGGAAGAGGGAATGGGGAGGAATAAGGCGAAAGGAAAGGAGGAATGGGGAGGAATAGGTGAAAGGAAATGGGGAGGAAAAAGGTGAAAGGAAGAGGGAATAGGGAGGAAGAAGGTAAATGGGAAGAGGGAATGGGGAGAAAGAAGTTGTAAGGGAAGAGGGAGTGGGTTGGAAGAAGGTGAAGCCGAAGAGGAAATGGAGAGGAAGGAAAGGAGAAATATGGTGAGGTTTTAAAGTGGGTTATGCGCATGAACAAGACAGATGATCCTGAGGGACTATTTAAATATTTTCCTGACAGTGTTCTTATCTGCCGCAAGACACGTACGTTAGTTTCAGCTCATAGGCAACGTGTACATATAGTCACCAGGCTTCGTGTTTTACTCTCCAAGGAAAAGCAGAGACGTCCGGCACAACTGTCGTTGTAGCCCGAAATCAAACTAGAGGGATATTAATATTAAAAGGGTTATAAAACTGTTGAAACCCGCCAGAACTCATTTTAGGAGGAATATTATTAAGCAATGGTTTAGGAACAGGGTTGGGGGCCGAGTGGAATGGAACCCGAGCTCGTCTTATTAGACAATATAATAGGTTTCAACAACTGATATGACAGGAATATGGGTGAGAGGTATTGGATTTAAACTTGACCCACCAAATATGAGACACTAGGCCTACTGCAGCGCTCCATGAGGGTTATATTTTAAATGACCAACTAAATATATATGTATCACCGAACGTTCACAATATAATGACAGTACCTTGATGAAAATGCAAAATTGACGATGCTCCGTTGAGGACGTCCACGCGACTGAACTCCTTCAACGTCTGGTGTCGGAGCCCGGAGCCACATTAACGAATGTGACACGTGAGGCAATCTTAAATAGTCCCGGCGCACCTATTTCCACGAACACAAAGATTGCGAATACAAAGATCACTCTTTTTCCCCTTAAGAAATACAAAGTTCCCCTTTATGGTGTATGGGCTAGAAATACTGTCAGCAAATTTTAATGTCAAAAAAATTATAATAGGCTACCGTTAAACAAACGACCAGATATAAATCTGGGGTATTTATCCCACAATTAACAGGATATTTGTGGCCCAGATGGGATTTTACTTGCCAGTGGAGAAACCCAAGCCAGAGGAAATACGGTACGGTTTCTGACCAGGGGGAAAAAGACACAGGCCGAATGGGCTTAAATTTTTATTAATAAATGAAATTCTGCAGAACATGTAAATAATATAAGTAGGAATTAACAAATGTAACATGTCCATGTCTGAGGACTAAATTAACTTAAAATGTACCCCCGTAGTAGTAACCATAGCCTAGTGGCATGGCGAACACGTTCTGCAGAAACCTAATGGCAGAAGAAATGTAATTAGAACTAGGTATAACAGTCAGGACACAAAGGGGAAATAAAGTGTATAGACACAACACTTAACGGAGCCCGACCAAGACATAATGGGAAATCCTAGAATTAACAGGCGGGCAGAAAATACCTAGTGACTGGGGAAAACTGATATGACAAATGGGAGTTTTCCCAGGGCGTGAGGCCGTCCGCCAAGGAATTTTTTTTTTATTTAAATTTTTTTTTATTATTTTCTACCACAGACGTGGCCACACATTTACAATGCTAACCAGCATATATACATTTTCTTCTGTCCTCCATTGACAGGGTTAGAGATGTGTTAAACATACAGTTCAAGGGTTTTATTGAACACTCAACCACAGAAGGTGATTCGGTGCTTTTAAAATGCTAAGCTAACTTACATACGTAAATACATAGATACACAGATTTACGTATGTCCTACATAAAGTGTTAGATGTGTCTTTTACAGTGTCATTAATGTACATTCACAAAGGTGAAATGTAATTCTGATCAGCTTCCATATATACTTTATACCCATACATATACACACACACACACATATACATACATATATACACACACACACACATATACACACACATACATATATACACACACACACATATTCCGCCAAGGAATAAGGAGAAGGGTTTCCTTACTCTTACTAGCACCTAGACTGGGCAAAGGATTAGCTGCGGACAGCGGGACACTTGGGGACCGGCGCTGCACCCCCTCCCCACTTGCGGTGTGGAAGACAGAGGGACACTGGCACAAAGCATGACGCAGTTTCGAGTACTGCGACGGTCGGGTGGAGAGAGAGGGAGCCCCGATTGATGATTGATAAAGATTAAGCCACCCAAGAGGTGGCACGGGCATGAATAGCCCGTAAGTGGTGGCCCTTTTGAGCCATTACCAGTATCAAAAGCTGATACTGGAGATCTGTGGAGGCGCGACTGCACCCTGCGTGACGGGAGATGTCTCCCGGACCAAATGGTGACCAGATGGTCCGAGGGAGCCCCTCTCTGCCCTGAAATTTATATGGCCCCGGGCTTCCCGCGCAGATGCGCGGGGAGCACTGCGCAACTGTTTCTTTGTCCCCCTCTTCAGAAACATCTCCGATTTGTATTTCAAATCAGAGGCCATTTATACTCATGAAACACCTTAAACTGACTTTGAAGTTAACTAACATTATATGGGAGTGTGTCAGCACTGAACTGACCACCCGACCTCCTAAAGTATCCTAGTTTAATGTTACTAAATGCTTTTATATTTTATATTTTATATATATATATGTACCTAGTAGCCAGAACGTTGTACTCGGCCTACTATGCAAAACCCAATTTGCCTAATAAGCCAAGTTTTCCTGAATTTATATATTTTTCAATATTTTAACCTTATGAAATGATAAAGTTATTCATTTCAATATGTATGAGTTATTTTTTTTTAAATTTGAGTTAAAACTAACGTAGATATATGACCGAACCTAACCAACCCTACCCAACCTAACCTATCCTATCTTAAACAAACCTAAACTAACACCGTTAAGTCAATAATTTATGTTATAAATATAACAATAATAATAATTCAAATAAACTAATTGGAAACAATTTATTGAAAATAAAGAAAATCACTTTTCCTATTATGCAAATCGGGCCTTGCATAGTAGGCCGAGAAGTGCGTTCTGCCTGCTAGGCACGACATTATATATATATATATATATATATATATATATATATATATATATATATATATATATATATATATATATATATATATATATAATACAGTATTGATAAAAAAATCAGACCTCAGGATGGAAAACATGATAGATGACATCGATGCCCACGATGCTTTTTATCTCTTCACTAAATGCCTATCCCTTCCGAGGCTAACCTACTTTCTGAGGTGCGCCCTATCCTACGACAGCCCAAAGCTTGATGAGTATGACCTATTGCTGAATACCATGCTAGAAAAAGTTGTCAACCTCTCCCTCAACGAATGCCAGTGGAAACAAGCCACTCTTCCTGTTAAGCTCGGCGGCTTGGTGTCGGCACTGCCACCCAAATTGCTGTCCCAGCCTTCCTGTCTTCCTCCTCTGCATCAGATGACCTGGTTAAGGAAATTCTACCTGACAACCTTTGTGACTTAGCATGGATACAGGACGCCCCACTGCATGGAGTGCGACACAAAATTGGGTACCATGGCAGACCCAGCACACAGACCATGTTGAAAGCTAAGAAACAATCCAACTGGGACAGCCCCATTGTAATCAAAGAAGCCACAATTTTGCTGGAGGCCGCAACAATCCCCCAGTGATCGTGCACGCCTAATAGCTGTGCAGGCTCCCCATGCAGGGGACTTCCTTTTGGCAGTTCGTATGTCTGCGACAGGCACACGTCTTGATCAACAGCAGCTCCGTATTGCAGTCACTCTCCACCTTCCTGCACCTATCCACACTGTTCATTGGTATATTTGTGGCACGGAAGAGGTAAACGAATATGGATTGCATGGCCAGCACTGTAGAAAATCTGGCGGTTGGCACTCTAGACATGATTAAGTCAATGCCATCATTAAAAGGAGCCTTGCCTCTGCCCAGTGTCCAGCAGAAATAGAGCCCTCACAATCTATTGCACCATAGCTGTTATCTTTGCTGGCCGACCTCATGGACTCGCACTACATCCTTGGAAGGGTGGCAGACAGTTGGCGTGGGACTACATTTGTGTATCCACCCTGGCAACCACATACATTGACCTCTGTTGGCCAAGCAGGAGCCGTGCAGCGACACACACATACAAAGAGACAAGTCAACCAAGTACAGGGAAATAGATCACCGGTACAACTTCCATCCAATAGGATCTGAGACCTTAGGTCCATGGGGAGAGAACGCAGGAAAGTTTCTTAAGGATCTTGGTTCCAGGCTCATTGACACTACCAGAGACCCTAGAGCGGCAAGTTTTCTCTTCCAGCGCCTCAGTGAAGCAATCCAGAGCCGGAATGCCGCTGGATCCTCTGTTCCTGTCCGGCGTCAGACGAATCCAAAGAAATCTACAGCCTCTATGAAACAAACTTCCCCTTATTTCCTCTTAATGTTCTCTTTTACTTTTGTAAACAATCAGATATGTAACTGTATAACCTTGTACTGTATAATAAAAAGTACAACATAAAAAAAAGGGGTGGTAGGAGACGTGAACACTCACATATACAGAGTTAAATAGCAAGTTTTTCTCTGAATGCTCTGTTCTCTTCTTCTAGGCTGTGGGTCCCTGGAATTGCACCAGAGGTGGTTGCGAAATAAGAAAGTGGAAAGCATCACACGAACATAAGACATGCCAGAGAAAGAGGGTAGACTGTGTACCTGGCGCCTCACCTGTGGAAAAAATAAATGATCGTGATGTTTCAAATTGAGGATGACTTCCTCAATTCAATTCAAATTCAAATTTTTATTCAGGTAAAAGTACATACATAGATGATGAGTTACAAACATAATGTTGGATTTATAGATAGAACTGGTACATACAATACCTAAAGCCACTAATACGCATAACGTTTCGTGCAATGAAGGGCTTGGGGCTCAGATTTGTAGTGCATACATGCTCGGAAGAAGGTACGGTGAACTTGGGAAGAAGATTTCCCTGTCTTAGAATAACCTGGGTCTCCACACAAGTGGCACTGACACTTGTGCATTTGGAGGGACTATGTCCAAATCTCCAGCACCTATTGCAGAGGCAAGGAGAGGGGTTACCTGCTTGATACCTGTTTGATGGGGTTCTGGGAGTTCTTCTACTCCCCAAGCCTGGCACGAGGCCAGACTTGACTTGTGAGAGTTTGGTCCACCAGGCTGTTGCTTGGAGCAGCCCTCAGGCCCACATACCCATCAAAGCCCAGTTGGTCCGGCACTCCTTGAAGAAAACAATCTAGTTTCCTTTTGAAGATGACCACGGTTGTTCCGGCAATATTTCTGATGCTCGCTGGTAGGATGTTGAAGAACCGTGGACTGTGGCTGTACTCCTGAACGGAGCATCTAGCACCAGCAAGAATTACGTTAAATGGGAGGGACCTACTATCAAAAGTAGTTTTGATAGTAGGTCCCTTGGTTTCTTGCTTCAGGAAAAGCCAAACGATCCTGGTGTTTCATGTTGAGGACGGCTTTCTCAAGCTTGTAGTGTATACACGTGCGGGAGAAAGTAGGATGGGCCTCCTCGCAATTGAGGCAGCAGGCCTGGGGAGAAGAGCAATCTGTTTTAGAGTGGTCATCGCCCCCACACATGGGGCAGAGACAAGACTTGAGCATTTGAGGGAACCATGCCTGAACTTCCAGCACTTATTACAAAGTCTAGGAGAGGGGATGTACGCCTGAACGGAGCACCTGGCATCAGCAAGAATGATAGAGGGCGGAAGGGTCCTACTATCGAACGTGATTTTCACAACTCGAAGGGGCTGATGACAACGATCACGAGGGGTCGAGTGAACGTGTCCACCCAGAGGACAGGATGGCCTTGGACTTTGGGATATGTTTAATATCCTCATGGCAGTCTTTTAGGTCCCGAACACGAGTTGCAACATAGTGCGGGAGAACAGTGCCAACACTGGCATTTAACCAAGCAATTTTGGGGACCCGAACAGGAGCCTACCCAATGCAGGACAATGTGGCTAAGCGGGTAGCTGCATCCTGAGAAGGAGCGGCGACAACACGTGTACCAAAACGGATGGGGTTAAAAGTAACAGAGGCATCTACCGAATCAACAAGGTGTATATGGAGGGAGATATCGTCAGGTGGTGTAGAATCCAGATGGAGATCAAAGTATTTAGCCCACGAAGCAGGACCAAACAAGGCATTGAACGTATTAGTATGGGAAGGGATCGTGCGAGTGCGGCTGTGGCTGGGACGGCATTGAGAACTCCCAGAGAGAGAGGGGTTAAAAGGCGCAGTAGTCACAATGAGTGACTGAGCCGTGCCAGGGGACATGGTGGTCACTGCAGGGGGCTTGGGACTAGACCAAACCACAGAGGAGGGAGGGGAGCCGAGTGGAGTAGTCAGGAGGGTCAGAGGGGAAGATAGGTCTGGGCCCAATGTACCAAGGGCTAAAGAGCCCGGTCTTCCAACACAGTCCAACTCAGGGACTTGGTCGCCCACCTCATGAGCCTGAGAAGTCATAAGATTAACAGTATTCAGTGACATGAAAACGAGAGGTAATACTTTCATTCACGAATGCGCCCCCATACCCACCACAGAGCCACAATTAGAGGATAAGACACCCAACAAGAGACAGGTCCTGCCGGGGGCCCCCCTAAGGGGTGCGTCGTGAGTATACTCCCCACAAACGCAACCTTAAGAACTGTCAGTCCATCGAGATCGGGTTCAGTGACTAAAGAAGGAGGGACAATAAAAGCGCCCCCTCGCTCGTGACGTTGGGTACCACAGTTCTACGGGTGAGAGAGTATGCCTCCCCAAACACCTGGGTGTCAAAACAGAAGAAGTCCAAAAGAATAATCAAGACTGGCAAAAGGTCGGCGGGAAATGACAATTAGAAAGGAGAAGAGAGGGGAGGGGGAGAAAAATGAAACACAAGGAAAAGGAAAAGATATCTGGCAAAATTGAAGACAGCAGCAGGAGAACAAGGCTTCAAAAGGACAGAGGACTGACCCATGGAGCATCGCACTCCGGCAGTCGCCCACCAAGTCCCCTCACGATGACAATGGGCCAGAAATGGGCCATTGCAGCCCAAGGAAAGTGTATGAGCCCCTTCATGATATTACTGCATCCATGTGGAATGTCCCTACCATGACAAGGCAGCAGCTATGAGGGAGTGTTTCAGCTTAGCTGGTTGATGTAATCCTGAAATAGCTTCTATAGATTAACCTGGGAAAACAAAACTAGTAAAGTTAATTTGCATTTAATGTCCTTATACAGGTTTAAAATGTTAAAATATACATTATCTGTCAATATTTATGTTATTAATTATATTACTAACAATAATTTTACATAATCGAGTCATTTATATTTGCATATGAAATATAAAAACTGTGACCAGAATGCACTGAAAATATAACAATTTCTCAATGATATTTTTTATCTAATAAAACTACAATTGAATATTAATTTTAGCTAAATAAATTTAATTAAAGACATAAGATTAGGCACTAATATAAAAAAAGAACAAATTTGTCCTGGAAAGCTTTAACAGTTGTAGCATTTAATAAAAACTTAAAATTGCACAATATATAATTGCAAAAATTAAAAAATACAAATATATTGCAGCAGAATGAACAACCAATATATATATATATTGATGCCTAATTGCACTTTTAATTTTTGTCTTTACGACAAAGGTAAATACAGCAAGCGCAAAACACTACTGTTAAAATATTTATCAAGTGTCGACAGATTATACTCCTATTTTTACCAGTATGAACTCAACTGAATGGACATCAAACTTGCTACTGTACAAATATTTAATAAACCGAACAATTATTTAATTCCTTGGCATCAATCATGATTGAGGTTATGCTATAATATATGGTCAGTTTAGTAGAAGGTAATTGGAAGGAGAAAGAAGTGTTAATGCAAACATTGCATACTACAGCATATGGAAATGTATAATGTCACTTAACATTGAAAAAGCTAATCGACATTTGTTTTTAGGCTTTGAATTTTCTACACTTCCATGATCAGCAAGTCCAAACTATTAGAGTGAAAATTACCTACCTTCCTGCTTACACACAAGAACTGGTTCTGACAGAATAACTAAAAGTGTACAGTATCTGTTTCATAGCTAATGTGCTTACAGGAAACATCAATCACATGCAAGTAAAGCTGCAAGTAAAATTATGCTACAATCCAAACAACCTTATTAAAAGTATTTCAATAAAATGTATTATCAAAATGATCAATCTAGTACCATAAACAACTTGTAATATACCCATGGGGCCAACCAATGAGTGCTTCTTGGCAAGATTTTTGAAGTACAAAAACTTCCCTATTTTGTCTTGGTCAAATTTGTGAAAATCAGCAGCTGCTGTATTAAGGTGGCTATCATGAAGGTATTAATGCTGGATTCAGATAAATTAGTTTGAAATAATGAGCATAACATTATGAGTATATAAATCAACTTGAGTATTCAGGATAACAAATAAATCACAAATTACTGTACTGCACTATTATCTGCATAGGATAGAAATTATAATTTGTAAACTTAATCTTTGACAATACTTAGAGATGTTTAACCTTTTGGCTGAAAAAAATATTTTTTCGACCCTATCCCTATATTTACCTTGAAATTAATGCAACCAAAAACCGAACATTGGATGTAATGAGATGCCTCTTTCAGGAAGAACCCAGGTGGCTACCTGAAGCTACAGCATCTTGCTGACAAACTCGATGCTAATGGTCACATCAATCTCCTTAGTTCTGTTTGGCCTACTGGGGACCAGAGCCAGAACCTGCCCCCCTCCCCACAGAGGGCGAGTGACAATTCACCACCCCAATAGAAAAACATACAGAATGTCTCCAAAGCTTTGCAGACAACTTGAGGGTTCAAAGGAAACAAAGCCTTGTAACTGCCAAACTGCAAACAACTAGCACAGAACAAGAGAATCACTCAGACTAGCTCAAACCTTTTTAATATCGATTACCACCACCAGGTGACCTCGGCTATCTCCCACTGCTCAATTCTGGAAACTAAGGAACAACTCACTGATGAACCTGGAAGGGAGGAGAGGGATGGAGGGAGGGAATTGGGGAGCCATTGGGGCTCCTCCAGAAAGAGGTTCTTTACTACATTCAATGCTGGTGGCAGGGATTTACAGACGAGTCTGCACTAAGTGTAAGTTACTTACAAATTACGGTATATATATAAGTAATTACCAAAAAAAGCGCCAAGCTGGGGATACTATGTAGCACCATCAAAGTTGCATGATGTTCAAAAGGCGCAAGATATCACCAAGGATGCCAAAATTAGAAAAGCGCATAAGACGAGTGATATCAAAAGTATCTGATTCACCAAGGATTTTATCGAGTGACAAGTGTTGAGAGGGACAGTCGGGAAGCAAGACGTGCACCTTCAGGAAGTCAGGACATTCAACAGGAATATGCATAACTGTAAGAGGGACAATGCAGTTTGGACAATAAGGAGCAGGGCGGTGCTCAATTAAGTGCTCAAGAGTTGTACACTTATGGCCAATACGTATCCTTGCCAAAGTCATTTCCCACAGCCGGTTATGGTGGTAGGAGGAGGGCCAAGGGGACAGGCTACCTTTAAGAGCACGTAGTTTATTACCAGCAACAGAAAACCAATGACCCTGCCAATGGGCAAGGATTGAGATATGATGACTGTTTAGAAGTCGGAATAAGGAGCACATTTGCAAGGA